CAGTATCACATTATATCAACCCATATAACCAAACAGTACCGCATTATATCAACCCATATAACCAAACAGTACCGCTTTATATCAACCCATATAACCACACAGTATCACATTATATCAACCCATATAACCACACAGTATCACATTATATCAACCCATATAACCACACAGTATCACATTATATCAATCCATATAACCAAACAGTACCGCATTATATCAACCCATATAACCAAACAGTACCGCATTATATCAACCCATATAACCAAACAGTACCGCATTATATCAACCCATATAACCAAACAGTACCGCATTATATCAACCCATATAACCACGTAATACCGCATTATATCAACCCATATAACCACACAGTACCGCGTTATATCAGCCCATATAACCAAACAGTACCGCATTATATCAACCCATATAACCACGTAATACCGCATTATATAACCTAATAACAAAACAGACTTTCAGAATAACAAATTGGGCTTTGTGTGTTTGCAGCGCGTCCATGATGTAACGTTGCTATGACAACCGGTATAAAAATCTCATGCACAAAGGCCGTAACAATTATTGCCCCATTAATAATACGATGCCACAAATTCACACGAATTTTAAAATATGTATAAATTGTTAATGATAATGATATAACAGCATATATGCTATATGAATTATGCAGTGTGGTTGCTTAATTGAGGTCATATCTCGCTAGAAAGCATCATTATAATAATAATTGACGTTCGCCCATTCCATTCGTACTCTTACCTACAGATAATGTTATTTCCAAGATGGCGACCGATCGACTGAGACTCTAACACAACGCGCTTTCAGTTTCATTACTTGAAATGTGAATTCTGCTCGTCAGGCTAGACAGAGCAACATGCAGGAACATATCTTAGCCGTGGTGTTGTCTACGATAATTTCATCAACGTGTAAGTACTATTTCACTGTACAGTTTCACTGAGTTAAAAGGGCGTTGAAATTTCGTTGTTTTCTGACCGCTTTCTTTGTGTTTGGAAATACTAATCTAAATTTAAAAAACACAACAGGAAATGACATATAGACGTCAATAATTATCTAAAAATCATTACCCATATAGCGCTGAGCAATATCGTAACGAATAAATAACGAATATATACCCGGCGTTGTTGAACGTGAAGATCACCTGAATTTCAAATAGCCACAAACTATTGATGAATATATATATATATTTATTTATTTTGTTACGATATCCTAACTGTATTTCGAATTTCCACACGCCGTTGATGAATACATTTAAATTTAATTATTTTATTTGTTCATTTTTGACGTTTTCAGCTGGGTAATTAATGCTCGTTGAACATGGAGACAAACACAACGTGCGATGAATATACATTCATCACCTTGTGGTTGCTATGGCATCAGCCGTACGTGGCGGCATTGTTATTATTTCCAGGATGGACACTGAAAGTAACTGTTATTACATCTAAAATGATAATTCGATGTGATCTATAGACTTTATGATCGGTATAATTAGTGTAATGTGACGTAATAACGGACCAACTTAACCGCATCATTTAGACATGCTCTGGGGATACTAAACAAATTGGAGGTCTGCTGCCCGAAATTAAAATATCAACCCTGTTCTTGGAAAATTATATGACAAAAAATGTCTAGAACACGTTATATTTGGGCGAAAGGGTAAAAAACGTGGAAATGTGTGTCTAAAAATCTTACTTTTTTAGTTTTTCAGAATCCAACGCAGCTTTTCACAAAAAAGTTTACCCATAATTCGTGAATTTTCCGGGGAAAATTATCCGTTTGGTAGTTTATCGTGTGCACCTTACCTGGGCATACCACTGTAGTAAATGAGTAGTATACTAGTATATATACCGATTTGTTGTTGTTGTTTGCAGGGGTTGCATCAACTACTTTGGCAGCGACCACGTCGTATGTTGATTCGACAACACCGCAGCAAAATTCATTGCCTGCTGGCACAGTGGATTATGGTAATAATGGCAATGAATACAACTCAACATATCCACAAGATAACGATGTTAGCGGCAATGATACTACGGTAACCATGAAATCAGTTACAACGAATTATACCGGCGTCAACAACATAACGACACCCTTTCCAGGAACGAATATGCGACAGTATGTAAATGAGTCACATACCACCAACACAACGCTTATAACTCCCGAATTTATATTAAACCAGACAGCTACAGATGAACAAATTACGATGAAAGGGAATATGAACAATACTGTAACTGGGTCTTCTGCTGTGACGTCCTCGGTCACCACCCAACCATCTCCCGGGACGACACCGAACGCTGCGCTGTTAACACCGTCCGCCCACAGTCAGACCGCCCCCAACAACATAACGACAATTGCGCCTACCTCTTCTGTCTTAACAACTGTTGCCACGACAACGCTGACCACAAAACAAACGACATTACAAGAGAAGATAAAAACAACAACCAGTGCCGTGACCTCAGCTGCGGCATCGAATGAAATAAACAAGACAAGTAAGAAAAAAAAAGTTGTCATATGTTTGGAAATGTCAGTAACAGAGGCGTATAAAGCCCCTTTCACAATTGGCGCCTCACTCGTGGGATAATTTGTTTTTTCGAAAATATTTTTTTCCGTCCTGTTGTAGAAGTGTTGTCTTTGAGTCGCAAGCAATATATAAAATCGTAAGGCCATCAATATGACATGTCTGTCTTGAACGTTTTGGATTTGCCTTCTCAGACTTAGCAAATGCAAGAGCCTCCTACAGGAGCTATTGGTCGAGCAGCAGCCATGTTTACAGTATGGATGGTCCAGACATTTGGGATGAAAGCTCAGGAGTTCTCGAGCTTATATTGAGGGTGAAAAAAATCGTACAACGTTGCAAAGGGGGCAAGACAGGTCTTCCAATAGTCTTATGGTGGTACAACGGACTCGTACGACGGGACGCATCATCGTACGACATGAAAATACTCGTGCAACACTCGTTCGGGGTCTTACGAGTGCGTGCAAAGTCGCACAACACTCGTACTGCCTGTCGTGCAATTATTTTTCATCGTGTCAGTCGCTCAAATATCGGAGCAGCACGGGTTTTTTTCCCGACCGAGATGCGACCATTTTGTCGCATCTGGATCGTACAATAAGTGGTACACGGCTACAACGAGTCGTACACGGGAAAA